TTATTCTTTTTGGAACAATTCATTATAAGGAAGTATTACCTTCTACTATTCTCGTATAGATGACCAAATAAGGATGATGAGGAGGACAGATGCTTTTCTCTATTTCTACAGACAACCAACCGTTCACTTCAACTGTCACTTTCATAAATGACTTTCAAATGAAATCATCTTTTCACGTCATTTTCACGTGTGCTATTCACGTTCTCATTAAAAATTAGCATAAATAAGGCCTAATGAGAAGAGAATGATACGAAATGTTATTTTCTTTAATCAGTTTTGGAACATCTCTCTCTCTCTTTGAACACTCTATTCTCTTATGGTTAAGATAGATTTCATAGTAAGCGGCTACCTCTATGAGCTTGTTCTTCATGCTCTTGAGATGTTCTTCTCATAGACTCTCGAAATATCTTGTTCCTCTCACACTTCCTGTCTCACCATGGAGCCTCTCTATCTCTCACATCCTCTCACTCCGTCTCGCATAAAACATAATTCATACCGTAATTCGCTTGTTGGATATTCGGTTGTCACCTTAATAAGGATGTAACCATCCATTAATCTGAATTTGTCTTCAAAGTCAACGACTTTCGTTTCCAACGTAAAGAAGCTTATTGAATTAACTAATTCTATGTAATAGAAGAAAGAACGAATGACATAATAAATGTTTCTGAGGGTTTTCTCATTTCTGGTCCTTTACCTTCATCTTTCCTCATTCTCTCTTAACCTCTTCCTCTTTCTCTCTCTCTTTAGTACTAAAGCAGCTTTTTCTGTTTTTGTAATCTAAGAGACAGACGGCAAAAAACGGAAGAATTTTAATTTCTTTTCAAACAGATGATGGAAATATATGGTAAAATAAGAAGTTTCGTATAGAAAATGGCTTTTCTCTCGTAACTCTTTCATTGAAAGAGAAAATTGGAAGAGTAACATACAGAGAGAGAGAGAGAGAGAGAGGGAGATAGGTAGTAGATGTATTCAGAGAGAAGGAAGGAGGAAGAAGCAAGATAGGGAGGTACGTTCAAAAGGACTATTCACCTCCATCTATGGCAAATGATGACCTAAGAAGCTTTCTCGAACACGTTCATCGTCATGTAAATATACATAATCTGTCGTTTATATCATAAAGAAGATGGTAAAAGAAGCAATCTGTTGAGGTTATAAGGGGGTGAAAATTGTCACATCTGGTTGTTATTGTTCTGTTTCGATGTGAATGACGACGGCAAAGCCTCTGTACATCTTTACTAACTGGAGAAAGATGAAAAAAAAGGAAAAGAAGAAGGATATTAAAAGATTGGGGGGAGGACTAACAAATGAAATCTCTGCCATTCCTCTCTCTCCTCCCTACATCCACCCCTTCACCATCATCACATCGTTTGTCTGAATAGGGGAGAAGCGCATATCATTAACAGTTATCATAATCTCACACATATAGATAGATAGATAGAATATGTCTTGTGAAAGCCTTTTAAGGAGTTTAAAGCGCTGGAGTATTCTCATCGAATGCAATGAACGATGTTATAACAAGACATTTTTTGTGACTTTTGTCATCTTCTTTTCATTACATTTCCGTCTAAGCCAATTCAGCTCTTCTATCCAGATGATGCTTGTCTAAATTGACGAACAATATGGCAATCAAATGTTACAAAACGTTTTTAACAATCAAAAACTTCATTTTCTCTCTCTTTCCCTTGTTCTCTCTCTCTCTCTCTCATCTCCCTCTTAAATGTTTTTTGTGCTTTCTCTCTCATAATGAACATACAAGAGTTTCATAGAGAGAGAGTGAGAGTGAGAGGGTAAGGAATATGAAATCCATACGTTTAGAAGGCAAAACACTCGGTGCGTGTGTATGTGTGTGTGTTCATTCCTACTTCGTTTCCTCCTCAACCCTCCCATATTCCCAAGTAGTCGCGTTTTTTTCCAAATTTTTCATTACTAATGACGAAAGTACCGTAATCTCATATGAATTGAAGGAGATTTTGTGTTTCTTTTGTTTTAACAAAAAAGGATAACAAATGATTCGAAAAAAAGCTGTTTTATTCGTCTCTTAAATATATTTTTCATGAAAATTAAGTGAAAGAAGGATGTGTGGTGGATAGAAAGGACTGAGAGAGAGGTGCTGAAGATGAAGGTATGTATGAGAGAGAGATAGAGAGAGAGGAAGGGAGTGAGATGATACGTAGACGACAACCAATCCTAATATGGAAAAGAAGAAACAAAAAAGGAAAAAAAGGAAATAATCTCACCTTTGTTATCCAACAAATGTTTCTGTTAAGTAATGACCATCTCTTTTACAGAAATATTCCGCTTTTATTAGCCTATTTGGGTTTTGTTAAGATTTATCCCTTTTATAGATTATTAATCCTCTTATTTCATCAAAAGGAGAAGACGAACAAGATATACTAACAGAGAGAGAGAGGGAGAGATAGAGAGAGAGAGAGTACAGTTAGTAGAGAGTGAGAGATTAAGAGAGATGATACATGTTTATAAAAAAACTATTGAGAGGAAAAGGTTAAGAGGGATGTTAGAGCTGGGTGTGAGGTTAAGAGGGAGCAACACGTCTGGAGACAGCTTTGAACACAAAACTAGAATGATTCATAAAGAAACAGTAGGATGATGAAGTAAGCTTCTTTAAGAAGATGAAAGAGTGAAAGAAGGGGGAGATGGTATGCTTACAAGAGCAACAGATCGGAGTATTGAGATTAGAGGAACAGAAGGGTGTCATGTCATGACAGTCAGCTTTCCATAGATTACAGTCTTACCTGCTTATAGACAACAGATAACCTCATATAGAGAGAGAGAGAGATGATTAGAGAGAGAGAAAGAGGTGTGAGTTGTAAATAATGAAGAAGATATGAATGATGTTCTAATGAGAAAAACAGAAGGAAATTATTAGAATATGTTGTCCAAATTAGGACAGGTGATCCATCAGTTAGAAGAGGATGAGATGAGGAGTATCAGAAATGGTTGTAAAACCTCATGTTTTACATAAATATCCTTTTCATATAAGCCGACAAAAGACAATATATTGTATTAGATATTCTTATTAATGTGACTATTTTTTATTGTTCGGTAGATGTGTCAATAGGTGAAAGGAGAAGAAGAAGAAGAAGAGGAATCCATTACAAACCCTTATTATATGTTTATGTTTATTATTCTAATTAAAATGATTTCATCTCTCTCTCTCTCTCTCTCTCTCTCTCTCTCTCTCTCTCTCTCTCTCTCTCTCTCTATGTGTGTGTGTAGTTGGTTGGTTGATGTGTGGAGGTGGAGGAGAAACAACTCATTGGAGGACAAACTTCTCGTTTTTGTGCTCTCTTTTTCAAATCAAAAAAGTCCAAAAGCCAATAGACCATTTATGTTCCGGAAGAACAAATTCTCTCTCTCCTCTCGTTTTTCTCCAAAAAAACTGTCAGCGGAGGTCATCGGAATTTACAAATTATTTTTCAGTCTTCTACAAACATTCTTACAATCAGAATGAAATCTTTAACAAACACTAAACGACTGGAAAGAAGCGGAAAAAATGAATTTTTTCCGTATTTGACATCTTCCCTCCTCTCTCTCTCTCTATCTCTCTATCCCTCTCTCTCTCTCTATCAAATTTCTTAACAAAGTGAACTCTGGAACACGAGTGAGGGAGTTGAGGACACAAAAAGCTTTACAAGGACAAGGAGGATATGCTACCCCACACAAGACATATTTATTCATATAGTTAAATGTTTTAATTATGGCAAATATGGAAAACCTTGTTTGGAGAAAAGAAAAAGTTGACATGTGAAGGGCTTTTGTTTTACTTTTTTGTTCAAAAAAAGAAATGAAAAAACAGTGTCCTTCAATCTATTATTCGTTGTGAACGATTGATTAGTAGTTCAATGAAGAGACAGTACAACCACCCGCAGGGCGATTTCCTCAAAAAAGCCACAGAAATTCATTAAATCATTGACTTTTTATATTCCGACGATTGTGGAAGATGACATTCTCTTCTGATTTCTCAATTTGCATATAGATGGAGGGAAAAGCTTGATGCTGGATTTGATAGACTGTGTTTCAGACTTCTAGACGGCTCATGTGTATGTTTCGCAGCTCTTCAAAGTTTCTTCTTCCCCTTCTTCCTTTTGAGAGAACATAGTTCAAAAATAAATTATATAAAATATAAAGATTGAAATCATCTTCAGTGTCTCATTCAAAGAACCTTTGCTATTCTATTCATTTGAGCTCTTCAAGTATTTCTTCTTCTTCTTGTGTTTCTTCTATTACCGGCACCTGTAGCGATTCGATTACCTCAATGGAAAATCCAAAACCGGGCGGAATGTTTGTTGAAACAACGGCTGAACAATTTAAATATTCGTCTATTTTATGAAAATATCAAAAAAAATAATTTCTTAAAACATCTCAACCACCACTAGTTTGGTTGTCGTGCGCTTGTGATGCCATGCACACACTCAATTGAAACGTCATTGTTGAATTGAGACGAGTGATGTGTGAGGAAGCAAAAAAACTTCTGGAGAACTAGCATCCATGTCCAAGTAATCATTACATCCGGTCTGATATGCACGGCAAGAGAGATCATCGAAATCAATTTATTCAATAGGGAAATGATTGTTTGTTTTTTTATATCCGCCGTCATCTCATCTGATCCTTTGAAGAAGCAGCGTCTTCCTTTCTCCTCTTCCATAACTCCCTCAAGCTATTTATCTCTCTTTCGAGCTTTCTTCTTTTTACCTTTTCTCTTTTTATTTCAGCCGAATGAGAAGCTCTTATGGCCGAGGCTCCAAGAACCGCTGGATTGTATCACATCCTGTCTTCGCAACGATAACACAATGACCGATGTCAATAGAAAAAGAAAACATAAGAATATATACTGCCGGTTTAAAATACTCCGCCTCTATTCAGTTTCAAGCTGTTGGTCTGAAGCCCTTCCCACCGGAATCGGAGTACAAAAGCCCCGACGTCGTTGGATGTCCTCCAAGCAGCTTCTTCTGTAAGCCCATTCTGAAATTTCATCAACAATGAGACTTTCGGTGTTGGCACTCGTTTTCCTTCTTGTAGTCCAGGTAGTATACTCATACTATACTTCTTCTTCTTCTTATTATTATTATTATTTGAGATTTATGCTGAGAAACCATTAACTGTCAGAGCCAAACGGCAGCAATGCCAGTGTATTCGTAACCCAAATGGAGGAATGACTTGCAGTTGCATCAAGCCTTCTGTTGTAATACCATTTCCCTTGCTTTTCCCCAACTTATTCCGAGCTCTTTGAAGGATCATGGTGAGACCTTGTTCAATGCTGAATCTCAACAACAAGCTGAACTCGCGCACGAACTTCAGAACATTCAATCCCACGACAATAATGCTCAAGCCAGGTATTACTTTCATTCTCTTCATCTTCCACATTTTCCTTCTCACTATCTCTCTGACTCTCTGTATTCATTTCAAATCCACGACAACAAAATACTTTGAAGATGTGCTTGTCTACAAATTGTTTTCCATGGAAACCCTCAATATCAGTGTCAGTGTGGAGACAACAATGGAAACCCGGTAAAGTTGGTCATGTTTCTAATATTATGTTCAATTAGCTTCCAACCACCACGACTCCTGTCACGACAACTACCACAGCAGCTCCAACCACGACTACCACGCATCTACCGGAACCAGTTCATACAACTACTCAAGTAATTCATTCAATTATTTATTTGTTTTATTTGTTTATTTATAGGGACACGGCCAATGCCAATGTATCATGATCCGCATTTCTGGACCAGCTTCAGCTCACTATCAATGCAATTGCTTGAACCAACAGGTTCCATTAAGCACTAACTTATGAATCATTTTTTTGTCTTTAAGGGATCTAACACCACTCACCAAATGATCAGTCAACAAGTTTTCACAACTCAACCACCTATGACAACTCACGCTCCAGAGATCGAAGTTACACTTCCAGTTGAGCCTATCCCTCAACGTTAGTATTCAACCTACATCTGGATTGTTAACTAGTTCATTTCAGCATTGAATCCTGAGACATCTTATCCTTTAACAACCACATGCATCATGTACGTTGGTGGTCAGGTGAGTGTATCCTCTTTGTATTTTGTAAAGAAATTGATAATCTAAGACTTCCAACGCTTGCTCGTGTCTTCCTAAATACGATCAGTGTGCTCAACACATCTGCTGTCTTCAAGCTAAGTATCGTAGCTATAAGGTATGTTCATGTTTAGTTATAATTGAAATGCTTTCTTTTATTATCTTAGACTTCGCCAGTTATGAATGACAGTCCTAAAAAGAACGAACCCACGACAATCGACATGCTCATGAATGTACTTCAGAAAATTAAAACGAAGCTAGATAACTAAGAAGATGAAAGTGGATCAATATGCACATATATTACACTTTTGATGTTTGTACATATAAGAATAAATCTATTCCTTAAGATTTTTTCCCAAAAAATTGGATTTTGTTCTGCCAGAGAACTTTGAACTGTCGGACAGTACGACTGCCATAGTGGTATCGGGGCAAGCGAATGTTTTGGCCCCATTGCTCACTTCTGTTATGACTTTCTTGCCTTGTTTGTAATCTTAAATGGGAAAATTGTATTTAGAGAGACCTGCTCTCACTTACTCTCAGAGGAAAGACCGAGGTACTGGGAGATAACATTACATGTTACTCTTTCCAATTCTGATTTGAACAAATAAATTGAGCTTGCAGTAGGTGATGCTACAAAGCAAGCTCGAAGTTCCTGTTCCAATGATTCCATTGAGTTCTGTAGAATGTATAAATAAAACAAATCATACGCACCACGCGAGATGAACAACCGCTCCGCGCGCAAAACAGTCAAGAAATGAAACTTGCACAGCTTTCCTTCATGTCACTTACCAAGATAGTCTCACATTGGAAGAGGAGTGATCGCTGGCATGGCAAAAGCTCATCGAATATGTCATTGACTTCAATATCTAATTGTCTTCGTATTCGAAAAGATTCTTACTCTTGTTGTAACGATCATGATCATCCTCAAGAGAAAGTAACGACATATCCAGAATAAGGAATTCATTGTTCTCTGTCATCGAATTTTGCTCACGTTTTTCGACCTCAACGAAACTCCTCCAAGCCTACAAAAGCATTTTGGAATACTGAAGAGAACAAGAGTGTCTATGTACTTTCATGTTTCTTGGATTCGAGAACAGACGACGAAATGGTGTGTGTGTTTCCTGCATTATATCAGAGCAATCCAAGCACAAGTCATCAATGGTCGCATTGATCATTTCAATTGCTATAAAGGATGATTATGGGAATGAATTTTGCTTGTTTTCTAATACTTTCGTTGTAACGTTTCTTTTTTTTTCCGCTCGAACGAGACTTTGGAACCTTAGGAGTTAAGGACACTAAGAACGGATTGCGTCGATAGCTAAAACTTAAATGAGCTCAACAAAGAACAGATTTAAAAACCGTCGTCTGATATGAGCAGCTTTACGATCAACCTCATCGGTTTGCTCCAACAGGTTCTCAACCAAATCATTCTCACTACTCAAGTCTCTGTAATTTACATTTAATGAAATGGAGACAAGATATGATGGTACTCTTCGACATCAGAGAATGTGACAATCTTTAGAGGCCTGGAATCGTCCAAGTCTCTACCGAGACCCATATTACTTTCTGTATTGTAAAAATAAGTAAATCAAAGTTAAGATTAAGAAGAAGAAGAAGGAACGAAAAGAAAATTGAGGGAATACTCCTTGTATTGGAAAACAAAAAGACACGTCAGATCAAATTTGGTTTAATAATGAGAGATAGGAGAATGTATAGTAATCGATAATCTAATGTATTGATTGTATATATAGCATCTTAAAACTGGATTGACCGTTTGTTCAACCAAGTCTTCTCTATCTTGATTTTGAAAGCGTGAAGCTTTGAATATTAGAAGAATATTGGAAATCAGATATTAATTTGAATCATAGGTTCGTGAATGGTAGTAGCGTCAACAAGGACGCTCCTTATCAGAGTTTTATATATTTAGTATTAGGAATATCTTTATAATATAGTGTTCCATGTGAATATTAGAATTCTGTAATTAAAAACTTACTCGAATGAACATTTCTAAACGTGAATCCAAGTCTGAAAAAACGCTGTCCGGAGGGTGAGAATCGAGTTGGAGAAAAAAAATTGATCCGCGCGGTCCACGAGCTTTTACGTACTCATTTTCGATGCCACGCCCAAGAAATAAGTATTCATCTTTGATGAAGGCTAAGACACTTAGGTTGTATATCGATTGTTCCCAGTTGTTTCATCAACATTACCAGCATTTATCAGTTGGAAGGTTAATGATGAAATGATCTTGAGTGCCATTTGTGCAGACAAAGTTGGGCAACGTCATTGATATCGTAGGAGCTGGAAATTGGCATTTGTTATTGAATCACTGTGAAATATACGCGAATAAATGATGTTGACGTCTTTGCTTACTTGATTCTTATAATAATCGTTCCGATACGACGCTTTATACTTATTTCAAAGCTGTGACGCCAGCAAGTGTACAGCGAAGCTGACCCCAATGCGTTGGCTATTTGTCCAGCCCAATATTGTGCAACACTTGCAAAAGAACTAGATGTGATCAAAGTGTTCATAGTGCAAAAGTTCTAATTCATTTTGTTTCCAATCAGTTTCGGGACGGAGAGTGGGAGGAGAGAACAACGAATAGATAGATATCCAATGGTTTTGTTTTTTTGCAGTGATTGGAGCACTAGATAAAGCTTACCGAAAACATTCCCGAGGAAATTTACGTGAAAGGCATAAATAGAACAAGAAAATGTTTAATTTTCCATCCTAATCACCATTTATGGGGTTTTATCTGTTCTTTATGTGCTTTATAAGCAGAAAGATAAGAATTCAAGTGGTTTTGCTTCCATTACCAAGATGAACAAGTTGGCTGAAAGTTGGTTCACAGAGTTCTCTCCTGATGATCTCGCTAAATTAGAAAACAAAGGTAATTCATATGCCCGGATTATCTTCACTATTATCGGAATATTCTAGACTCTGATGATAAATGCTTGAAATCCGACGGTGTTTCCATGGGTGGAGCTTGGCCCGGACAAGCTTTCTCTTTGCAAATCAAAGAAGTTCTGTTCAAGGGAAGAAGCAAGTTCCAAGACGTTTTAGTGTTTGAAAGGTATTACTTATTCCATTCTCGTTACACACTATTGTCTATTCAGCGCTACTTACGGAAATGTACTCGTGTTAGACGGAATCATCCAGGCAACTGAACGAGATGAGTTCGCCTACCAGGAAATGCTTGCTCACCTTCCTCTTTTTGCTCATCCCAATCCAGAAAAGGTTAGTTCATTGTAGAATCGTTGTTGATCATAAGGGTTTAATAGGTTCTAATCATTGGTGGTGGAGACGGAGGAATTCTTCGAGAAGTTCTCAAGCACAAATCAGTCCAATCCGTCGTCATGTGTGAGATTGATGAAATGGTTATCGATGTGTCTAAGAAGTAGGAAGCTGCTTTCGAACACTTATAGAACTGAGTAAACAGATATTTGCCTGGTATGGCTAGTGGCTTCAGTGATCCAAAACTTAACCTCTTCATTGGAGATGGCTTCGAGTTTTTGAAGGCTCACAAGGTTTCAATTGATTCAATACATCAGCTTCAAAACTTTCGTGTTTCAGAATGAATTCGACGTCATCATCACAGACTCTTCTGACCCAGTTGGGCCAGCCGAATCTTTATTTTCCGAGAACTATTACAGTCTCCTCAATGACTCTTTGAAGGCTGATGGAATACTTTCATCACAAGGTAACTTTTGATGACCGAGTTCAAAAGCGTTAAAGTTCAGGAGAATGTCCTTGGCTAGATGCTCAGCTAATTGCGAACTTATGCAAATTTTGTAAGAAACTTTTCCCAACAACTGCTTATGGTTTATCGTCTGTACCTACGTATACGACTGGGTTGATGGGTTTTATAATTTGCGCTAAGAGAGAGGTTAATGGATATATGCACGCAGAGTGATGTCTGACAGCTTTTTTTGTTTTGTCCGTTTGATGATTTGTGATTACTTTTTGTGTTACTCCAGGAGAATGTATGTGGCTTCACAAGCAACTAATCAATCACATAGTACGCTTTAACCGCCGTATATTCGAGATAGTCGAATATGGAAGTGCTGCTGTTCCAACCTATCCTTCTGGATCGATGGGATATCTCATTTGCTCGAAAGTGTGTTTTGCATGTTTGTTATTTTAGCTTTATAGTATCTGTGTTCCTTTTCTTTCTCAGTTCGACCTTCGACAACCGTCTATCTTTGCAGAAATATGACGTAAAGGTACCTGCTCGTGTTGTGACTGATGAAGAAGTGGACCAGATGAACCTACGTTTCTACAATTCCAGTGTTCATTCTGCGTGTTTCGCTCTGCCAACATTTTTACGAAAAGTGAGTTTTATGATTGAGTCGTTAGATGAGTTTGTTTCAGGCTCTTGAGGAATAATTGGCCATACGAGCATAGGCTCTCTCGGGTACAAGATCGACGTTTCTCAGCTTGTATTTGCTTGTCTTGGATGATTAATGAACTACTTTCAATAATCATAATTAAAGATTTCAATAATCCTCTAAATGAAAGAGACGAAGATGATCAAAAAAAGGGGTAGGAGGAAGTAGGGAAGTCTTACTTACCTACAAAGGATGAAGTGATTATATATCTTAAATAAGGAGTGGGGTTAATATCAATATGTAGTGCATGAGGGAGAATCATTTGCCAGCTTTTCAGCCGATTTCGAAT